AGAGGCGGGACTTCCTGTCGGAGGCCTCCATCATGGGTCAGTTCCAGCACCCGAACATTATCCACCTGGAGGGTGTGATCACCACGTCCTGCCCCGTCATGATCCTCACCGAGTTCATGGAGAACGGAGCTCTCGACAGTTTCCTGAGGGTGAGACAGCTCCCTGACTACCCGTCTGTCTCTTTGTTTACCTGTCTGTCTCTCTGCATGTCTCAATGTCAACCCATCTGTCTGCAGATGAACGATGGACAGTTCACCACCATCCAGCTTGTGGGGATGCTTCGTGGGATAGCGGCGGGGATGAAGTATCTGTCTGACATGAGCTTCGTACACAGAGACCTGGCAGCTCGAAACATCCTGGTCAACTCCAACCTGGTCTGTAAGGTGAGACAGTCTGCCTAACTGTCTACCTGCTCACCTGTCCGTCATCCCTCTCTGACAGTCTTTGCTTGTTTCTCAGGTGTCAGACTTTGGTCTGAGCCGGTTCCTGACTGAGAACTCCTCTGACCCCACCTACACCAGCTCTCTGGTGAGTCTCCAAATAAGGCTAACTAGCATGCTAACTGGTTAGCAATCTGACGTATTTGAATTATTACCCATGCTGTTCTAGCTGAAACAAAGTTCTGTGGATAAAAGAGGTGCTGTGCTGTGTTCTGATTGGGTCCTCCTCCCGGAGTCCCTCAGGGTCTTGTTTTTGGTCCTTGTTTTTTTTCTCAATACCTTTTATAAGTTAATGTAATATTGTCTTCATGAAGAACTCATTATATTCCACAAGCTGACTTGCTTTCACTTCTCAGGGAGGAAAGATTCCCATTCGCTGGACAGCTCCTGAAGCCATTGCCTACAGGTGAGTATTGATACTGCAGGTAAAAGTACATTAATCAAAATTATTTTAAATGTATGTTACAGTAATTAATAAAAGTGATTATTTTTGATGACGTGCAGAAAATTCACATCAGCAAGCGATGCGTGGAGTTACGGCATCGTCATGTGGGAAGTGATGTCATACGGAGAGCGGCCATATTGGGACATGAGCAACCAGGACGTAAGAAAAACATCATTTTAGTGGTTATAAAATGATGATGATGATCATTCTATGTTCAAGATGTATTTAAGGAGAAAATTACGACTCACATTAGTAGTCATTCTATGCTTTTTCTGTCATGGTTTTAATCTGAGATCATTTTAGTCAGGATCATGTACACACTGACCTCCTGTTGTTTTAATCAAATAAATAGATTTACAAAACTGTTATCTAATATAAATGTCTCTCACCTGTCTCGCCCGCTCAGGTTATTAACGCCATAGAGCAGGACTACCGTTTGCCCCCACCCCCTGACTGCCCCTCCTCTCTGCATTCGCTCATGTTGGACTGCTGGCAGAAGGAACGAGCCAACCGGCCGAGGTTCTGTGATGTGGTCGCCTCGCTGGATAGGCTGATCCGAAACCCAGCTTCCCTGAAGGTGATGCACTCCGAGGGGCCGAGGTGAGTCTCTTTGATACATCTCATTAAGGAAAAGATGGAGGGAGGGAGGGAGTGATTGACTGGTGAGGAATGTCATGCACCAGCTGCTGGGGTTCAGAGGTCAGAGGTCATAGTCTGCAGCAGACACAAAGGCAATCACACATGTTTGGTGCGTGCGTGCGTGCGTGCGTGCGTGCGTGCGTGCGTGCGTGCGTGCGTGAGCGTACGCGTGCAGGGGGCCAGCTGTGTGATTGACAGATGTTTACACAGACTGAGATGTTTACATAAGCAGGTGCAAAAAAGTTCACATTCCTGGATTAAATTTCAGAATTTAGTAATATCCTGTCCGTCTGTGTGTCTGCCTGTTGTGTTGCATTCTTTTGCAAAGATTTCAATTGTCTAAAATTTGACAAATCCTGACTTCCAACTATTTATCTTGTGTAGTTATAGAGCATCTTTTTAGCTTGTTTATTGTTTTACTTACCATACCCTTACCCAAAAACAAAGGTCAGGTGTGTAATATCTGTGCCAACATGAAATCAGCTTCTTCTTAAAAAACAAATCCAAACATGAGAGACATTTTTCAGACAGAGAGACGTGCACCAAACACTGCAAGTAGAGACAAGTCATCAAACTGTTTACACTGTAAACCTTCAGCTGATGTCACACTGGATGAACCGCTCGCCTGTCTCTGTTTACGTCTCTATCTTTCATAATATAATTCTGTCTGCATGTCTGTCTGTGTGCCTGTCTGTCTCTCAGTCCGTCCCAGCCTCTGTTAGACCAGCGTGTCCCTCCTCCTCTCTCGGCCTGTGCTTCGGTCTCTGAGTGGCTTCGAGCAATAAAGATGGAGCGATATGAGCAGAGCTTCCTGCAGGCTGGCTTCAGCAGCCTGGACATCGTTTCCCAGCTCAACACAGAGTGAGTCTTACAAACATATACTGCACATGAAGATATATAGATACTCTATACATGCACTTTGTGTTAACACAGTTTCATCTGCAATAAATGTGATACATACACATCATCTTTCCTGGTAGATTAAATGTTACGCTGACATATTTTTCATGAATAGTAAACTTATCCTCTGTGTGTTTCCATAGAGACCTGCTCAGAGTGGGCGTGACCCTCGCTGGCCATCAAAAGAAAATCCTCTCCTCAATCCAGACGCTCAGGATACACAAAACCCCACCCACCCTCCTTTACTGATCAATCACAGTCCTGCCTTGTTCTCTGAGACCATAACACTAAGGATGAAGCTGAACCCCACTGGCGCTTGTAACTGACCACTCAACTGTGATCAAACATGCCGTTTTGACCAATCAGGACCCATCAAGACTAGTGATGGTCAAAACATCAGGGGAATCTGTTCACTGTGAGATATGTGACATTCAGGTGGCACATAAACTCTCATAAACACATAAGAAGAACCTCTCGGCTATTCATACTTTAAATTTTCAATTCAACTGCAATAAGACTCCGCCTTTCTTCTTGGTCTGACCAATCAGAACAAAGGATCTAGCTTTTAAGCACCTGGATGGTCAATACTCAGGACAGCCATCCACTGCTCAGGAAAACCTTCTTCTGCTTCACAAACCGACCAAGTGACATTTAGCACAGCAAGGATGTAGGAGGGGATTCCTTGTGCTGATGTAGCTCAACAGATGCTCTCATTGGATGTGAGTTGCTGAAAAGGCCTCCGCTTTGCTCATCACTACGCACCACCCACTGCATTAAATCACATCTGAGATTGGTTCACAGGTTTGTCCACCTGACAGTGAAACCTGGATCAGCTGGTTATCTAAAGCGGATCAGGATGTACCTACACTACAGTGCAAACTCACTGAACCATGCAGAAACAGATCTCTGTGCAGGTTCAGGACTAAACTCAGATTTCTGCTCGATTCTCCTGGAAATATGAAACAGAGTGGATGATTATTTGTTTTAATCGTGTCAAACTGAACTGGATCAGCTGTTGGCCGGAACACATGCTCTTAAACTGCTACGATTGCCAAACCTTAAGGACATTTCAGCAGGGGCAAAGGGACTTCTGTCTTAAATGAACGTGCCTGAGTGAACTTTCAGGAGCGTGGATATCTCTTCATACTCCATCAGGAATATTCAGGATTTTAACCAAACATCATTGAGGATTTCTTGAGGATATTATAATGGATGTTGTGGAAAGCAGGGATAACCACACAGATATTCCGAAAAGACGGGCCGGTATGCTCAAGCAATGTGGGAATATCTTCCTGAGGGACATCAGGACCTTCTGAAGGGATTCATATTCTAATTTATCAACATGTTCTTCAAAAGTTTCAGTGTGGCACCCTCCATAATCTGTGAGGAATCTTCTGGAATCTCCTCAGAAAACAAGAGTGAACATTTTGGGGAAATCTTCGGGTGTCTTTGAGATACCGTGTTTATTTGGTGCTCTTTTCACAACGTAATCAGAAAATTTTTGAGGTTTAATGCAAACTCCTGAGATTCTCAAGGGGAAAGCGGTCTTTGGTAAACCTGGAAACTTTAAGGAAGATATCTAGAATACTTTCATCTCGCTAAAGAACTCTCAAAAGGACAATGGTTTTCTTAAACTGTGACACCAACACATGGAGTGTTTCACCGTGATGAAAGTACCTGAGTGTATTTAATTGAGCTTTAGTACTCAATCATTCCCAAACAGACAGAACTGGTTTTAAACCTTTAACTGAAACTTCACTTGTCTTGAAGCATACAATACTTATCACTGAATACTACAAAAACGTACCAAAACATGTCAAACAAAAGGCAGATGTTTGGTTCCCTCTAAATATTTCCTTTAGTTTCAACCTTCCTGATCAAAACCACTGCCAAGAAAGACGTCTGTTCCCCAAGGACTTCAATAATTCAAGCAGGTTGAAAACTTTGGATTAAAAGTCCGACATTAGTGTGTGACCTGTTCCAGTTTGAGGAACATGAGGAACAAAAACGAACAAAGAAGAGAACTGTTGACAATTTTGTATTTTAGCACTTTTTATACCTGATATTTTATTGTGATCATGTTTTAAAGCTGAGCAGAAGATCAATGTTTCATATAAGACTCACATTTCAGGAAAACTGTCATTGAATTTTTGTAAAGAAAATAAAAAAGATTGTCTTTTATTTCAAAGCTGTGTGAGACAGTGAGAGGATTTAAAGTTCAGGACCAAAGCTCAAGTCTGAAGTCAGTGTGTTGTTTATTCTGCCCACAGGAAGCAGTGTGATTGCTTTTTACTGCCCCAGATATCAGATCAACCCCCACCAAGTCTTACCAAACAACATCTCACATGTTCTCTTATTCGGTTGAGAATCTCAGGGTTCTTATAATACATGATACATGGCCCACGATAACAATATTATCTCGATACAGTGATTATATAATTGATATATTGATGATACATCACAATATCTGATGAGCAAAATGCCCCTGTCGTTTATAATGTGCAGAATGAATGTATCCATTCACTGCAATCTGGTGTCTGTTTCACCTCATATCTTCTGTTGCCATGAATTCAAGCCAAAATATTTTCAGAGCACAATATTTTATTAAATAAAATATCCATATTTGGCAACAGGGATATGATTATCATGATAAGCACATATCAAGACAACAAGATATTGCTGTAAGGATATTTTGTCCCACCCTTATTCTCCAACATCTGAAGACTTTTTTGTATCTGTTCAGTCAAGCGTTGTTACGATACCATCATTTCAAACTTCCTAGACGCCCTGATCACCTGCACAGTCTAAACTGAACAAAAACATTGGCAACATTTGGGTACGCCAACGTTGCTCAAGGCATTAAAGTTTTAACATTTTTGACAACCTTTGTTCGGTTTCTTTTGTCCGGCAGCAGAAAGCCACGAGGCAGAACGAGCAATCTAACGTCAGACGCTTAACCAAATGTTTTCTGAATTAACGGTGGTGACATTGTTTTTCAACCAGCTTATTGTAAATAAGAAAACCAAAGCTGTTTAAATCACTATGGGGATGGAGATTTGGAGTTCTGAGACCAGTTTGCCCTTTTGCTGTCAAACTGACCAATCAGAGCATAGATACCTCTTTACAACTCTGTAACATTTTCTTGCCTCAATATGTCGACTGTGACTGCAGAACCAAAGATCTGAGAGCCTAAATCTGTATCATATGAAGCAAACCTGTGTACATCTGCAGATTAGTGTATATACAAACTCTACCTACTTCTCATTGGTCCTCAGACCCGTCACCCAAAGCATCAACAAACCAATAACAACACTACAGGGAGGCTTTCTATGGCAACGTCCAGCCTCTTTAACTTGTTTTGGACTGTTGCATGATGGGAGTTTTCACACCTGGTCTTCACATTGAAGGCTGCTGTGATGTCATCGTTCTAGTCTCTGCTGATTGGATTAGAGTCAGGAGTTTTCAATAATGTGACCAACTATTTTTTATCTTGAAGAAGAACTGTGAGATCCACCAGAGCCAGCCTGATCCGGTCTGGATTCTGTCTGATCCGGTAATGAATGAATGAAATATTATTGATTCTGATGACATCAATATTCAGGAGAATGTCTTCGGGGGGGGGGGGAGTCTCTGTCAGCCAATCACAATAAAGATGAACTATCCTGCCCAATGAGATGTCTGGTTTCAGTCTGTATGAAGAGATTATGGTGTTGCATAACAAATTGTGTTGAAACTAACTAACCTGTACAACAGAATGAATTATAGAATGAACTGGTACCATTATGCAAACGTTAATTAATTTGAATTCTTCATGTCAAACTGTAGCAGGAAATGTGAGTCCAGACTCCATTGACAGAAACAGTCATTTTAACTCAGGACACAGGAGTTGTTGATCTACTGCTGCCTCCGTAAGTGAGTGTCTTGGTGCTGTTTTGGGTTTTGGAAATGTGATGGATCCAGACTAACCATTTAAATCTCCAAACTCACACAATTACACAAACAGATTTAACAGATGTATGCAGCAGTAGACCAGCAACTCCTGTGATCTGTGAGGTCAGATCTCTGTTTGTGTCAATGTAGTGTGGTGTGTTTGTAGAGTGATGTCACAAAAAGGTCTCTCTCTGTAGGGATCCTTTCTGAAATGTTGTCACGACAAAAGCAAAAAACTTTTAGTGGACCCACTTCTAACCATCAATTATGTTTCAGACGTTACAGCCCGTTTACCTGCAGCAGGATCAAATCATCCACACTGGAGACATTCAGAAACTCTTTGTACCTTTTAGTCCCATTAGACTTTAGCTTTGTAAAATATAAGCCAGGGTTGGAAACAAGAGAAGTGCTCTTCAAGTGTACGCTTGTTGAGTAAACATTCTGTGTTTGCAGGTGATGATTCAAGCGGATCAAACAAACAGAACTCATTGGTGACAGAAACATGACGTGTCTGTTCAGTGTGACCTCTGATCTCCAGCCTGTGTGTGTGTTTTCAGACAGGTAGTGAGGATGAGTGTGTCGGGAACACACAGCAGACCTGACACAGCTGAGAGGTTGTCATCCGTTGCCATGGAGACATCCGCGAGTTGTGTTCACGGGTCAACTGTACATTTTTATTTTTATCTTAAGTTTTATTGAATCCAAGTTTCTGAATGAACCTCAGAGAAATCATTAAATAAGTCTCAGAGCTCCCCAAAACTGAAATAGAGGGGTTTATAGGCATGAGCATGTAGAGCATGTCTATAAACCCCTCTATTTCAGCCCTGCTCAGAACAGGCTGTTTCTGTGTCTGTACCTTTAAATATGTAAATGAGCTGTGTCTGACCACGCCCCCTCTCTAGAAGGTCTTGGGTGTCTCTGACTTTCTCGCTCCATGTCCTATTGTTTACGGTGAGAAGGCAGACTCAGAGGGCAGAACAAACACCTAGCTGTGGGAGTGTCACCCACCTGGGGGAGGGGCTACTGCCCTTTGTGATGTCATGAAGGGAACATCTCCAAACAGCCTGTTTGAGCACACATTTTCTGAAAAGTGGAGCAGGCAAATAAAATACAGGATACTGTTATACTTAGGACAGAGAGTTAGAGACACACACTCTTTAAGGTTGATTTTAGTGTGTGTACATGTAGCAGATTTCTACACACTGGTTTTATTACTTTTACTGATGTACATGAATCCATCATGGCCGCTCCTCAGCTCCACAAACCAGTTTTTATTTTATAAAAACCAGCTGCTGACTTCAGATCAGTGTGTGTGTGTGTGTGTGTGTGTGTGTGTGTGTGTGTGTGTGAGATGTATAGGAAGGAACATTTCAACATGTTATTTCACTTTAATGAGCACAATGTTGGCAGAGAAGCGAAGAAACAGAAGGTTTGTGTTTCATCTGGGAGAGCTGACGAGTGTGTGGGTGTGTGTGTGTGTCTGTATGTGTGTGTGTGTGTGTGTGTGTGTGTGTGTGTGTGTGTGTGTGTGAGAGTGTGTTTCTGTGTGTCTGTGTGTCTGGGTGAGTGATATGTTGGCCTGACTCCTGCTCTGTGTCTCTCTCTCCAGGACAATCAGAACTGACAGCTCTAAAGTGCCTCAATACGTGTGTGTGTGTGTGTGTGTGTGTGTGTGTGTGTGTGTGCGTGTTAGACAGTCATACATGTGATTTTTCCACTCCGAGATTTTCCAGTTTCTTAAAACCTCCTGACCTCCAGCATACCAAAGAGAACCTGGAAACTCTTCAAGGACCTCGGAAGCCACCCTGGAGACCTCCTTAAGGACTCCTGGAAACTCCCCAAAAACCCTGAAATCTCCTCAAGTGTCCTGGGACCATCCAGCACCTCCTCAATCAAGAAATCTCCTCAAGTGTCCTGGGACCATCCAGCACCTCCTCAATCAAGAAGTCTCCTCAAGTGTCCTGGGACCATCCAGCACCTCCTCAATCAAGAAATCTCCTCAAGAGTCCTGGGACCATCCAGCACCTCCTCAATCAAGAAATCTCCTCAAGTGTCCTGGGACCATCCAGCACCTCCTCAATCAAGAAATCTCCTCAAGTGTCCTGGGACCATCCAGCACCTCCTCAATCAAGAAATCTCCTCAAGAGTCCTGGGACCATCCAACACCTCCTCAATCAAGAAATCTCCTCAAGTGTCCTGGGACCATCCAGCACCTCCTCAATCAAGAAATCTCCTCAAGTGTCCTGGGACCATCCAGCACCTCCTCAATCAAGAAATCTCCTCAAGTGTCCTGGGACCATCCAGCACCTCCTCAATCAAGAAATCTCCTCAAGTGTCCTGGGACCATCCAGCACCTGTCAATCAAGAAATCTCCTCAAGTGTCCTGGGACCATCCAGCACCTCCTCAATCAAGAAATCTCCTCAAGAGTCCTGGGACCATCCAGCACCTGTCAATCAAGAAATCTCCTCAAGTGTCCTGGGACCATCCAGCACCTCCTCAATCAAGAAATCTCCTCAAGTGTCCTGGGACCATCCAGCACCTGTCAATCAAGAAATCTCCTCAAGTGTCCTGGGACCATCCAGCACCTCCTCAATCAAGAAATCTCATCAAGTGTCCTGGGACCATCCAGCACCTGTCAATCAAGAAATCTCCTCAAGTGTCCTGGGACCATCCAGCACCTCCTCAATCAAGAAATCTCCTCAAGTGTCCTGGGACCATCCAGCACCTCCTCAATCAAGAAATCTCCTCAAGTGTCCTGGACCATCCAGCACCTCCTCAATCAAGAAATCTCCTCAAGTGTCCTGGGACCATCCAGCACCTCCTCAATCAAGAAATCTCATCAAGTGTCCTGGGACCATCCAGCACCTCCTCAATCAAGAAATCTCCTCAAGTGTCCTGGGACCATCCAGCACCTGTCAATCAAGAAATCTCATCAAGTGTCCTGGGACCATCCAGCACCTGTCAATCAAGAAATCTCCTCAAGTGTCCTGGGACCATCCAGCACCTCCTCAATCAATAAATCTCCTCTAGTGTCCTGGGACCATCCAGCACCTCCTCAATCAAGAAATCTCATCAAGTGTCCTGGGACCATCCAGCACCTCCTCAATCAAGAAATCTCCTCAAGTGTCCTGGGACCATCCAGCACCTCCTCAATCAAGAAATCTCCTCAAGTGTCCTGGGACCATCCAGCACCTCCTCAATCAAGAAATCTCCTCAAGTGTCCTGGGACCATCCAGCACCTCCTCAATCAAGAAATCTCCTCAAGTGTCCTGGGACCATCCAGCACCTCCTCAATCAAGAAATCTCATCAAGTGTCCTGGGACCATCCAGCACCTCCTCAATCAAGAAATCTCCTCAAGTGTCCTGGGACCATCCAGCACCTGTCAATCAAGAAATCTCATCAAGTGTCCTGGGACCATCCAGCACCTGTCAATCAAGAAATCTCCTCTAGTGTCCTGGGACCATCCAGCACCTCCTCAATCAATAAATCTCCTCTAGTGTCCTGGGACCATCCAGCACCTCCTCAATCAAGAAATCTCATCAAGTGTCCTGGGACCATCCAGCACCTCCTCAATCAAGAAATCTCCTCAAGTGTCCTGGGACCATCCAGCACCTCCTCAATCAAGAAATCTCCTCAAGTGTCCTGGGACCATCCAGCACCTCCTCAATCAAGAAATCTCCTCAAGTGTCCTGGGACCATCCAGCACCTCCTCAATCAAGAAATCTCCTCAAGTGTCCTGGGACCATCCAGCACCTCCTCAATCAAGAAATCTCATCAAGTGTCCTGGGACCATCCAGCACCTGTCAATCAAGAAATCTCCTCTAGTGTCCTGGGACCATCCAGCACCTCCTCAATCAATAAATCTCCTCTAGTGTCCTGGGACCATCCAGCACCTCCTCAATCAAGAAATCTCATCAAGTGTCCTGGGACCATCCAGCACCTGTCAATCAA